AACTAATATTTACGCTTCCGCTTACATTTTGACTATCTTTTGACGATGGTTTGATGGTTTTGACGGTTTTATCATATTTGATAAACTTTTCAGAAAATAAAGTTTTAAAATAACCGGACGTTTTTAATAAGTTAAAACAACGGTTTTTCTAAAGTTAAGTAAAGATTTTCACGGTAACACCCCAAATCAGTTTCGCAAAGTAAAAATGTTTAGTTTTTCAAAGACTGCGAATAAATGCGCTACTCTGATTTATCTAGTAAGGTGGGGTGTTACATGTATGATATTGGAAAAAATATATATGATTCTGGGTAGTCGACTGATTTCGGTATGAATAAAGAAAAAATGTAAAACTAACAATATACCTTCAAAGGTAACTTGCGCATTGATATGACAGATACCAAAACGTCCCACATTACAAAAACAGCAACCACTTTATAAATACAGAACAAAAGCCAACAATATTAAGAAATTTGCAGGCAACCAAAATAGGTAACTAAAGAACTAAGTAGAAAACAAACGACACTCACAAGTACACATTGAATTTCCAACGCAACCCCAAAGTAAAATAGATAGCCGACACCGTCGGCACGAACAATGACACTTACCGTGACGACACTTACCGTGACGACGCAGAATCTAATAAATTTTTTTCCATCTAACAAAGTTACATAAGTTGATGCCAAGCAGCCAGTAAACAATTCGATCAATTAACAGAAAACAAATCAACGACAGAGGATCGATCGAGCGAGCGAGCGAGCAAGCTTACACTAAATAAAACCAACCATGACGCGTGAATTTTTACACACCAAAAAAAAAAGTTGAAACGAACAAGCTGGTATCGTATTAAACGGATAAAAGAAGACGAGATAATCGATACACGCACATCAAACCAGACCAATCATCTCGTCATCCTCTTCCCCAAGCCTATACCCGCTAAAATGGTCAACCTTGAACTTCCACTCCCCTTTGACCGCATCATAAGACACAAACTCGGCACCTTGATCCTCCGCCTTCTTCCTCAGCATCTCCTTGTACTTTTCAATCCTTGGACCATCCGTCACCTGCTGACCCGTCTTCTTGTCAAAGCACTTGATGTTGAGGAGCGTCACCTCAGCCGGCTTGTTCAGCCCCTGTCCCACAGCCGGCTTCTTGCTCTCATCCATGTAAACAATTACCTCTCGATTGTTGAACTGGACGAGGGACTCAAGGTCCAGCCGCCTCACGTCAGTCTCCCCAAAGAACTTGATGCTGCCATATCCGTGTCGTCCCACCACAAAGTCGCACACATGGCGACAGAAACCCGGCTCTGCCCGCTCCTTGGCAGCAAGCTCTTGCACACGTGGCTCCGTGAAGTAGTCCGAGTGTCGGAGCTTTGGCATCAAGGCCTCAACGTCTGCACCGTGCTCGTATGCGATAGCCGCCTCCCCAGCTCGGTGCCCAGTCAAGGTGATGTATGAGTCGCCTTTCTCGGTCTCGCTGTGGGTCCCATTGGCTTTTGGTTTCGCATTGTCCTCGCCGTCCGGGATTGGGTCCTCCACGGCTGAATTGCAAACAGAGATGAGTCGCTAAAAGAGTGTAATTCAATAGGTGGAATGCGTTCGTATTTCTAAGGTTAACACTAATGGGGGGAGAAAATCGGTAGGAACTCTCAACATGTGATAGCTCCCGCAGTGAATTAAAACCAAATTAGCAGAAAGAAAAATACACGTTGCAGATGCATTTTCATTATGTATTCCAAATTTAATTGAACCTCGGACTTGAATGTTCAGTTTAAAAAGGGCACCATTGTAGCCACAGTTTCACATTCCCATAACCGGCTTATATACATGAATGAATTGAATGAATAACTGGGCATCCATTTTTATCCCAGAGTACAACCATACTTATCTAAAAAAAATTATATCGTCTAAAACTACTGCCAATGTGCGAATAAGAGTTATTCGGTTTAACAAGCTAAGCTTTGCAAGGAAAAGAGAGACAAGTTTATCTAACCGTGACTAAAAACATACACATAAAATAAACAACCTAGAGCTTCATCAGAAATATACAATTATGCAACGTAATAGCAATTTCCACATAAACAAGCACTCACCATCTTTGCCCTTTGTTTGGTACCCATTTACAGGATGGTATACATCTTGTGCAACTTTACCTGCTCGTTCAAAACCAAACACGGTTACATTAGTTCGAGTAACAGGGAAAGCCACACAAACATCAAAACAACAACCCAGTGAACCCAAGGGATGCAGCACCAGGAAAGTGAAATAGCATGAGGTAAAGCGGCACAGCCTACTCTAATCTTATCTAAATTAACTGGAGCAGTCCACAGCCAGTAAACTTTGAAATAGTATTCTGCTGAATGAGATTTGAGATCTAATACTGTCAGCAAGCCCATTCAGTCCTTTCATCCAATATAGAACACACCACTAACAGATAACTTAGTATGAGTAAGGGAGTAAATGCACCCATGTTAAAAGAAATACCAAAAAGCCAGGATAACAAGGAAAACAAGCAGAAGACAAGTGGGGCCCCATATGTATTCAGCTACTTCCAAAAGTAATTGATATAAGAACTGAAAAAGTCCAAAATCCAGCAATCAGCTGAAGAAAGTCTACCATTCACATGCACAAGGGTGCCAGCGGCCATAGTTTCAGTGCTGGATCTGGAATGCCGTGGTTCCAACGGACGAATGACTAGAGCTCTTGGATTCTCCCTGGGAACAAAAAGAGCGTCCGCTTTTGGTGTGCTGGGTGTTTCTTCATCATCATTAAAAAATGCCACCTAAAGAGAATAATTACATGATTGTAGCAGTCTGGCAAACAAAGTATTCTGAACAAAAATGCTTGATATATTATAAAACATCACTGAGGGAATATTGATCACTCACCTTTGGGCCATCGATTCTAGGGTTATATTTCCTCACAGGCATCCTAAGCCGCCTTTGAGAAAGGTGTCGGGATGTCAAAAGTGATGATAGTTTCACAGTCGCTGGTTTTTCAACAACCTGTGACAAAGTGACGGTGAGATAATGTGTTTCTCTGTATGAACAACTCATAATTGGTCAAGTTCTGTAACATTGTTAAAGAACAACACCCTCAAGATTAATATGCCAGGTATTTAGATTTTATTTGATCAAATAGACAAAACCCTTACTGGCAAGCTGGAAATTCCATACTGAATAGAAGAAGTGCCTGCACGGCTGATTGAAATCTGAGGCATTGCTGGCAAAGTTCCAAAGGGGTTTGTAATGGGGGCTGCTTGCACAGCAATCGAACTCTGAGTAGCTGGCCTGTAAAATAATTGCCGAAAAAAAAAAAAAAAAATGTGTCATTTTGGACACAGACAGGCAATTGGGTATGGATGCAAATTACATCAAAAACTTTATGGAAGTAAATTTCTTCTGAATAGGTCCAAACAAGTATTGAGATTAGGATAGCAAAACTTTTTCTGCAATTGCCATTTGTAATTTCTCAACTTTATAGCTAATTACAAACAGCAGCGTTACCAGTTAATGAGGACAAGTTGAGTGGTTAACAACAATCTCATCTACTTTCTTCTAGAATCACCTCATGTATTCTCATAATATCTTTGTCAGAAATAATAAAGAAGAGGATTATACTTTACATGCTCCAAGTTTTAAAATTCCTAGTCGTACCAAGGATTATACATTACATGCTCCAAGTTTTAAAATTCCTAGTCGTTCCAAGAACCATAGTACAAAGTTATGATATATTTAAATCCTTCTTCTGCGTCTTCAACTTATGCGTAATGAAGCACTATATGCAATGAAGCACTATATGCGTACTTTTAGGCCAGTCCAGAAAATGCATTGAAGGTGGAATCATGCCAACTATACAAAGAACCCAAAACAAGTCCAAGAATATCCTTAAAATGGAAAGGACCCTGTAGGGGGATAATGGTTCAAAAAGCTCTAAATCAACAAAATATACTCTATTCTAGAGGAATTTACCAACAAAACAATCACAAAACCGTCCAAGAATACAGTCTCTACTTTTCCTCATAATCTCAGTCCCCAGCAAAACCAAGTGATGAACAGCTATAAGATGGATGTTGAAAAGAAGCAGTGATATGTCTTTAAGTTTAACAGGCTTCACAAGAGGTGAGGACCAAATCAAGAAACAAACCAAGAGTAACGATAATTAAAAAAAAAAAAAAAAAAAAAAAAAAAAAAAAAAAAAAAAAAAAAAAAAAAAAAAAAAAAAAAACACAAACCAAGATTGACGTGTGGTAGAGCAAGATTTTTAATTATGTATACCCAAAGTTCCACTCCTCACAACCAACAATGTAATATATGGTATGAACATAAATTGAAAAAACATGAAAGTAAGTAACTTACAATTGTCCAAATGTACCATTGTTAAAGATGCCAGAAGCTGTTGTGCCTGCAAACATGTGAAACATTAAACAAAATGGTAACCAATAGATGATCCTCAGGTAGAGAAACAACAAAATGGCATAGTCAGGGACAATGGTAAGAGCTCCTTTCTGATTAACCTGATTGTGACTGACCAAAGTTGTTAAAGTTAAAACCACCAGAACTCATAGCCGGTTGTGCAGGTTGAAATGGTGTCGCCAGAGAGGGCTTCAAATATAAGCAATGAAAGTAATTAGTTGAGGTAGAAGAATGCTAAGAGAGAATACAAGGAATAATAAATTGTTAAAAGAATTGAACAAAATAGCTAAAAGGCCAATTAGTCATTTCAGTTAATAAATTATTAAAAGAAATGAACAAAATAGCTAAAAGGCCAATCAGTCATTCAGTTCATGAATACTCACAGTTGTTTGACCAAAACCCAGGGTGTTATTGCTATTAATTAATGATGAAGTACTGGAGAACAAATTGCTAGCAAAGCCAGTGGAGGGTGTGCTAAAAATTCCAGGTCCAGTTTGGCCGAAGGCAGAGGATGTTTGTCCAAAGGGAATAGTAGCCTGCGAGAGGGTAGGTGTAGTCGACTGGAATAATGGGGATGACTGAGTGTTCCCAAAACCCAAGCTGGTACCAAATGCTGATGTAGCTCCCTGTGCTGATGAGGGGCCGAAAATAGATGGTGATCCAAAGGCAGATGATGTTGAACTAAACAGAGAAGGGGATGTATTCACTCCAAATGATTGAGTCGAACCGAATAAGGAGGGTGTAGCAGACGATGTTGAACCAAAAATATTAGATGTACTGGATTGCCCAAAAGCTGAAGAACTAAATGGGGAGGTAGGTGAAGGTCCAAAACCAGAGCTACTAAATGCTGGGGTTTTTGGAGCGAACGGGTTAGAGGATGCTGAAGAGGAAAAAGGATTGGCTGCGGTTTGACCAAATGCAGAAGTCGTTGAGTTAAAGGCTGTATTACCAAAGCCACCAATTGAAGTAGCCTGACTGGCAGGAGCTGGCCCTCCTGTATTAGGTACAGACATGTATCAGCAACATTAGATGAAACAAACTCTTCAGGTTAAGATTTACAAAAATTACAAGAAGAAAAGCACCTTTATCTCCTAACTGGTAGTCCTCCCATCTAAGTTCTTCATGGCTTTTATCTTTGTACACCGGCATGGCTGAAATTGATTCCAGTTTACCAGCTGGCTGTGTACCAGTGGCACCATCGGTCTCAGTTGTTGGTGAGTAAGGAGAAACCCTACTTCCTCCTCGTTGCCCCCCAAAAGTAGACTGGCCAAAACCTGGGCCACCAAAAGCAGAAGTCGCTGTTTGTGCTCCTGTCAAGGAATTGTGTCAAAGGCAAGACTCAGTAACAGCAATATTAGCATAGAATTCTAAAACTGCTGTACTCCTGAAGCAATCCGGAACACCCGACTGTCCAACGTTGAGAGAAAAACCATGTAAAGTTGTAAACAACATTCCACAAGATTTTTTTTCTCGTAGGATATTTCAAGTGTAAATGACAATTACTTTCAATGAATAATATTGAACGTAGTAAAATAAGAAAGTGAAAAGATGGTAAGCCTTTCTTATTAGTTTCAGAAAATCATTTTTTTGCATAATTTCCCTACATAATCAAATTAAAAATAGAACATATCCTTCACGGTAGTTTCTTCCCAAAATTAGGTCCAGATATATCACATGGGACCTAAATCTGGGGGATCTTACAACATAATACAGAAGAAACCTGCTTACCAAACGAAGATGTTTGAGGAGCTCCAAATGCTGATGTGCCAAATTGATTATTACCAAACGTAGAAGCTGCTTGGCCAAATGCTGGACTGGATCCAAAGTTAAAAGAAGGAGTACTTGAAGCTGCAAAAGCCGGAGTCGAGGCACCGAATGCAGGAGTATTTGTGGCACCGAATGCAGGAGTATTCGTGGCACCGAATGCAGGAGTCGTTGTGGCACCGAATGCAGGAGTGGTAGTGGTACCGAATGCAGGAGTGGTAAGCGCACCGAATGCTGGTGTGCTTGATCCAAAAGGAGAACTCGTCGCACCAAAGCCTCCACTGGTACTACCAAATGCAGGACTTGAGGTAGAACCAAACGCAGGGGAACTGCTTCCAAAAGCTGGTGTAGTTTGTGCCCCAAAAGCAGGTTGACTTGGTGCACCAAACGGAGAAGATGAACCAAATGCATTGCTCCCAAAAGCCGGTTGTGATTGTTGAAACGAGGCTCCGAAAGGACTTGTCTGAGTAGTAGTAGATCCAAAACCACCGAAAGCGGGTTTCTGACCAAACACTGAGGAACCTAATTCAACAAAAATAATTAAATAAAAATAGTGGCACATAGTTGAAAAAATAAGAAAAGATGGTCAAACCAAAAGTCGAATTAAATTAGGTAATAAAATGGAATTGTTGATAGGTAAAAACAGTTGAGAAAATAATGACAAAGAAGAAAGGTAAGGTCAAAACCTGCGAGAACCAAATGAGATGCATCAGAAAACAAGCTAGTAGCAAAACCCCCAAATACAAATTGGAGGAAAAAAATGCACTAAACATAGAGGGCTGTGAGAACTGACAACTGGCTCTCATAAATCAGAGTTCCAGAAGAAATAAAAGATTTTTTATTCGAGACTCTGCATCTAATTATGCAAACCAATATCTACATAATGTGACTACAGGGGCACTATTTAAAAAGGGATATGAGAAGTTTATCAAGTATTGCAGAATACAATACTCATCAAGAGATCATATGATCGAATTACATGGTTTATGGAAGTTCAAACTAACAAGGATCCTAAAATAAACAAACAGAAAGTAACATGTATTTAAACATGCACTTTGACAAATGATCATGGGATGGATAAAAACGAGAATGTACACACTAATTTTGCAAAGTCTAGGAAGCTTTGTTTTTGGGCAGAAGAAGGTAGGGAAGAAAAAGTTTGAAGATTTAAGAGAACAAGAGAGCCAAAAGTCTCAATCCAAAATACATTTTAGTCCACATTCTCCTGCCCCTTCAAATATGTTAATTGAGAATGGCAAATAACCTCCATTTCTTGCTTTTTCCCATGGGAAAAATGGACTATAGTCAACATATAAATTATCTCATACAGGAAGCAGTATTCAATAAAGTGTCATGAAATCAATACACAATACAAACTGCTCAAGTTGATGCTGGTGAAAACATGGACTTTGCCAAATGGTTATTGTGTTCAAATAAACCCTTACCACCAAATGTTGAAGACGAGTTTCCAAAGGCAGAACCAGAAGCAGCTCCAAAAGTTGGGGTTGAACTTCCAAAAGCAGGTGAGGATGAAGCACCAAAAACAGAAGTGGAACCTAAAGGAGAAGAAGATTGAGCTCCAAATACACCAGTAGACGTCCCGCCAAAGATGGACCCCCCAGTCTGTGAACCAAAAGGGCTCGTACTGCCAAAGGGTTTTGGAGCAAATGGATTGCTGCTAGCATTATTCGTCTGCCCAAAAATGGGTTGAGACCCAAATGGGCTACTAGATGATTGCCCAAAAGCTGTAAAATGAACAAAGGAAGTCAACATAAACATATACCATGTCGAAAAAGACAAATTATATTGAGTCATACATTCATCTAATACACAATCACTCATTTGAAAGCATGATCAGTTTGTTACAGTAATAGATATCAGACTCAGCAATACGACTAGAAGAGCAACCAAGATGAGTAAGTTAAAATTCTTGCTGTTAGTACTTGAACTAGGGAAATGAGAAATATGTGGGCAGCCATTCGTCAGAAGTTTCCAAGAAGAAAAGAAGGCATAAAAATGAAGCAATAGAAATTCAATAACTCGCTGCGTGGTCAGACTGGATATAAGACAGCAATACAACACGTCTCGACTTTAATGTAAAATCATGCAGTGAATTTTATCATCATTCATCCATCACATTACTGACGACTTTGTATCTTTTAAATTTATTGTGCAAGTGCAGCCTCCTGCTCACAGAAAAGTCAAAATATTTGCTACGTCTTCCGTTTATATTGTATTGCATTGGAAGACACTATATTTATAGCTCTACTTCTGTTGAACATTAGAACTCAACTTCCACGGTCAATAGATTTCTAACATGTTGTGCATCAACTAATTAGACCCAGAATTTAGACACACAAAATAATCATAATACCAAATTGCTTTAACAAGACGGAATCAGGAAACATATAATGGGAAAGGCTAGTGATGGTGCTGCATCGTGTTGTTTCATACTTCCCAAATTTCCATGACAAGACAGACAAAAATAATAGAAAAGCCAAAGTATTTGTTAATAAGTGGAAATGAAGCAGTATTCTTCTATCTATGATTCAGTTTCTTCTTGACATAAAAGTTGTCCCAGTGGTTCTATAATATCTTTCCTAATTATATGAACCGTGCAACAATTACAAAATGTAAATGGCAATTGCTCTCAAGTATCTTGGACGGCTTTACACATCATAAATCTCAATTGGAACTAAGCATGTCCGCCATTGAATTTTAGATAACCTCAAGATATCAAGGTTGCCAAGCCAATAATAACACAGTTTTCCAAACTTGAATAACAGCAAATCAAGTCCAAGAAGACTAGAGGCAAAAAGGGAGTATAAAATTATGAAGAGAGTAATTAACAGAAAAAAAGAGAGCACGAGCAACCATGGCACCATAGCAACAAATAACAATCAATCTATAGTTAGCTTCTAAATCAATGACCAGCACTTACGGTTGCTTCCGAACATTGTTCCTCAGCAACACAAAACCAGCACAGAATTCCTGTTGACGAAAATCTGCACGACAACAAAAAATTTCGCATATTAATCTCAATCTCAGAGGCTTGAACTGAATATAATAATACAGCCCGATGCTATGATTTTAACACGCTTCACAAAAAAGCATTCATTTGAAAAGATAATCTCGGTCCTCGACATTGAAGGCACTTGCGCTAGAAGAAAGCAACATTTAGATAGCTAATTCACTTTGACGACGACACAAAAAAACCTGAAATTCGAACGAGAAGAGACAAAGAGTTACCAGAATGGATGCCTAGGGTTATACTTACACAAGCAGAGGTTCGACGGCCGAGAGAAAACAGCAACGCCGGCGGATCCACGGGCAGCGCGACGGCAGCAAGCGAAACAAAGGGGTCGCGTAAAAAGAAAGCTACGAGTTGGACGATGAAAGGGGAAAATAAACTATATTCTGATATACAGCACACACAGTACCTATATTAAGGAGCGGATGGGATCCGACACATCGACTATCAACCCGCCTATGGGCCGCTTTGCATTGTTTGGGACTCTTCGGGGTCGTTTACTTCGGGGATAATCACAATGGGTTAAAGAAAAATTATGTTGTTTACTAGTAGGGCGAAAATACATAGGGTGGATATAAAATATGTGGATAGAAATATATTCGTTCAAAACGAGTTTTTTTTTATTATTATTATTACTTATTTTAAAAAAAAATGTTTTATAGTTATTTGGGATTTTGATTTTATATTAAAATAATATCTAAAATAAAATAATTAAACTTGATTTGATGAGACAGTAAGAGAAAGATGATGTGAAATGATGGTTAATTAAAACTAGGTAAGTAAATAGATAGTGAATTAAAATTGATATGATATGTAAAAATGATTGATTGATATTATTTAATTATATTACTAATATTGATAATAATATTGATGATAGTGGTTGGGTTAAAGTTGAATTACATTTATTTTGTATGAATTGAAAAAATTTATAAACAAACACAACCATAATTGTCTACATTAAAAGATACAGTATAATTGGATTTCAAATATACGAAAACTCTTCCAAATCTATGGGCTTTTTTGGCGATCAGCGGATAGCGAATAGCGGATTTTATCAGCGGATTGTGGATTATATTAACTGATTTGACCAGCAGATTGCATTAGCGGTTTTTAAATTAGTGTTTGGTAAATAGTTGAAAACTTATACTGTTTGACATTGCAAAATGACCAATAAGGACATTTTTTTATGGTGTATTTTTTAATAATAATATATTAAAATATTTAAAATTCTTTAGTTGGTAATTTATAAATATATTTTTTAAAAAAAAATTTACTAATATTTGATGAAAAAGTATGAATTTACATTTTTCTACATAAATTAATCATATGGATGACATATTATTATTTATTAGCATCATAAACCAATGTAGATTGTAAAATAAATAATACAAATTAAAAAGTTCCAAGTAAATGATTTCTGTGAATCGTCTATCCCCAAAACGTCGCTCTGATGAGTTTTTTTTCTAAATTAGAGTTTTGGGCCCAAAAAACTTATCAAATAAGCTATTGGCCTTGTTTGGCGATCAGCGGATAGCGAATAGCGGATTGTATTAGCGGATAGCGGATTATATTAGTTGATTTGACTAACGGATTGAATTAGCGGTTTTTAAATAAATGTTGGGTAAATAGTTGAAATTTTATAGCTGTTTGACATTACAAATTACCAATAAGGACATTTTATTATTTAAGGTGTATTTTTTTAATAATAATATATTAAAACATTTAATATTTTTTAGTTGGTAATTTATAAATATATTTTTTAAAAAAAATTACTAACACTTGATTAAGAAGTATAAATTCTACATTTTTTTAGATATATTAATCGTATGGATGACATATTATTATTTGTTAGCATCACAAACCAAGATTGTAAAATAAATAATACAAATTAAAAAGTTCTAAATTAAAATTGTAGATTGTGAATCCTCTATCCCCAAAAAGCTCTTCTAATGAGCTTGTTTTAAATTAAAGTTTTGGGCCTAAAAAGCTTATCAAATAAGTTATTTACCAAACAAGCTCATAGCGGATTTGACGGGTCAAACCTCTCAATTAAATCCAATCCGCTAATTTATCATCAATCCGCTATCTTTCAAACGGGGCCATTAACCAAACAGGCTCAATAGCGGATCTGATGGGTCAAACCTCTCAATTAAGTCCAATCCGTTAATTTATCTTCAATCCGCTATCTACCAAACGGAGCCTATGTCTATATTTATGTATATATATATATATAAATATATATATATAAAAGTATAATCATTTACTCAAAATAGTATAAAAAAATTATGAAGCATTTAATGCATACCTTTTTAAAAAAATTTTAAATATATACATTAACTAGTGCGGTACTCGTGCGATGCACAGACTAATTTTATTAAGGAAAATATTTATATTTGGATGATTGGAAAAACGTAAAAAAGATGTATTGTAATAAAACAAAATGTAACTTATATATTATTAAACAGAAAACAACGTACCTCTGTGTAAACCGTATCTAAGAAAATAAACTCTTGACACCTATATATATTAGAATTCTAAATAGGTTTAAATAAATCAATTAAATTATTTAGCAGAATATATATGATATGATTTATACTGGTTTTATGAAGATTGCATAGTCAAATATAACGGAGATTGTAAAACGTCTTTCTTGATAATCTACAGCCTTATAATTTTAAAATTGTAAATTACTTAATTTAAGGAAGGCGAAAACTGTGTACGTATATGCAATCAATTTCAAAGTTGTATTTTATAGGATTAAACAAAACTCAAATTTTTAGGATGTTCCAATCCGATTTCATTTGAATTTCCAATTAATATTACTTAACTTTATTTTATGTTTAAAAAAATCGAACTAAAGAAAGTAGTAGCCAAATTATATGAGAATTTTAAATTTTAATTATCAATTTGAAATTGGGTTGATTTATATGCAATCCCTTTTTTTTTTTTTTGGAAAAACTTGATCTGTTGCAATTAGGTAAAGATACATGTTATAGTATTTTGCCTAATTCAAAATTCTCGATTTTGTGGTAAACAATTTTTTTTATATATATATAAAAAATGAGAGTATTTTGACTTTTACAAAATTGCCATGCGTTTGTCCCGTTTTTATTACTATTTTCGTTGATATTTTGTGTGTCGCTTCCCCCGTTTTAGGTCTTTTCTTAGGTATTTCCGGCCTCTTTTATCGTTTCTTGCGTTTTATCTTTATTTTGGTGTGTTTAGGTTTTTTCTGTGTTTTCTTTCCTATTTTCTCTGTTTTTCGTGTTTTTCTGGTGGTGCGATTTCAGGTTGTAGGTTGATCGGGCTGGCGAGTGTTCAAACATGATGAGAAGTGGATGATTCGAGCAGCATTTTGCGGGTCTCAAGCATGTGAGAATGAAGTTTCCAGCTCGGGCAGTACCCGAGCAACGTAACCGAGCGCGCAAACTGTAGAAAAAGGCCAAAATTGACCAACGGGATCTTAGCGCCGCTAAGGCCTTAGCGCGGCGCTTTGGAAGTTATCGCGGACAGAAGCCGCAGCTAAGGCGCCTTAGCGGCGCTAACACCTTAGTGCCGCTATGGTCTGTTTCAAAACGGTCGCGTATTTCTTGGATTTCAAATGAGGAATTGATATGAGATCGATGAGGCATTAGTTCTGGACATTCTGACTTCGTTTTTTGAGAGCTTTTCATCACAAAAACTCATCTTTCTTTTAATCTTTCATCTTGGATTGAATTTTGAGATTGAAGAACTCATTTTCTAGCTTTTGGATTCGGTTTGCTCGTTGTTTTATCGACATTGGATTTGGTATTAATCGTAAGCTTTTCTTTTCATCTTATACATGAATGTGATGGCTTCTTTTATTGTGAATGTTTGTGTTGAGATTGCAATGAGTGGCTAATTCCAATAGCTAGGGTTAGGGGATAATCGTTCCGGTTCGATTTCGTTTATGTGTTTGATTAATTGCTCAATCTTTTCGAGTTGTGCTTAAACTAGGGTTTAGATGTTTGATAACCATCCTAATATAATTAATCGATTTTGAAACCGAAAGGGGAGAAATCGTTCGACCTAGGCTCGTTAAGAATAGACTTGTTCGGTAACGTATTGTTTATGTGCTAATTGATTCATTATTGATTTGTTTACGTTTATTCTCTTGTTTCGTGAGATTTTGAGAATGAACCTCTAGATGAGTTAGTTTTTGAGTCCTTTAGTCGAGTAATTGATTGTTCGTAAATTGTTTTGAGAACCGGAAACGATATTCCCGATACCCTAGCCCTTTTATCATTATTCGAACTTAAACTTTAAATTGCGAGTTTGAAATTGCTAGTTTCGTTCTTATTATTCGTAGTTGATAATCAAAAAAACCATCTATTTGAATTAGAGTGTTTAGGACTTGTTTCTATTTCGTGTGTTCGAATAGTCGTGCAATTTATTCCGGCCGAGCTTCCTTGTGATACGACTCGGGGGACGAATCTCTTGATTCTACTCCGGTAAAAATACTTACAACAAAATTGGTGCCGTTGCCGGGGAAGGTTTAGGATTTATTTTGTGCGCCTATTCAATTATTTTCAGTGTTTCTCTTATTTTCTGTGATTTCTTGTTTTTGTGTTTCTTTTGTTTTGTTTTCTTTGTCTAGTTCTAGTGCTTTCTTTGTTTTGATTTCTCTTCGTTCTTTTTGTTGTCTATCTGTGCCCGTGATGTTTTTGTTGTTTGTTTTTATGCGTACCAGGAGCTGTCGTGTAATCATCCCAAACGACAAATCCATCCAACAGGACCTACGAGACTTACTAGCTATTCTTGCACCAGTATCATCTACATCAGAAACCAAACCGACATGGCACAGAATGAGCAAGATGAGGAGGTTAAAAATCCTCCTAAGTCTCTTCTTCGCGATTTGGCTCAACCGGTGATTGGGCCAGTGACGTCGTGCATCCGACTGGAATA